TGCATATGAGGTTATTGAAAATACCATGGCTTGGGTCAGGTGTACCTTAGTCTTCAAGCTGACATCTTTGCTCTTCAACACTTTAAAAGGTCTTCTGTAGCATGTTAGCCATTAGGGAGATGCAAATCAAAACCACCCCACCCCTCTGATTGAAATGGAAAGCAGCAGGTGTTAGTGGGCTTACAGAGAAACTGGAGCCCTTCTCCATTGCTGGTGGAAATGTATAATGGTGTACCACTCTGAAAAAAATGGAGTGATTCCTTAAAACATTAAACATGGAATTACTCTCTAACCCAGCAAGCCCAATCTTAGGTGTCTTCCCAGAAGAAGTGGCCCTGCTCTTTTGGTTTCAGGTGCATTGCTGCGGAACTTTCTTGTTCTCATAGAACTTGTGAATGTGGACAAAGAAAGAGTCATGAGAGGAAATTGCCCATATCAAAGGAGATGAATATTTAAAAATTATTATCACCCTCAAATTGTAGCCATTTATGTTTTCTCCAATTGCATCTGAGAGTGTCCCTTTTCTCACATCTTTACCCACATAGATATTTTCAGGCTTTAACGTTTTATGGTATTTCCACTTTTTAACATTATAAAAAGTCATTTTAATCACCTCGTGTCTCCCTTCCCATTTTGAGTCTTTTAACATTGGATTGCTTCTTTTGAACTTTTCAGCTGAAGGAAGAACCTGGTTTGGATGGAGCATCTGCTCCAAGAAGCCCCTGGAAGCCTGGGACACTCCGTGAGAAGGCCAGGCAGACAGAATGGAAAGACAGCTCTAGCCAAGCACCGGACAACCGTCTGTGTGAGAAGGTGGCGGGGTCCCCGTGCACTCCTGATGTCACTCCAGAAGACAATGGAAACTTCCAGACTGTGTGGGCCACAGTGTTTGAACATCACGTCGAGAGACACACTGTGGCTGACCAGACAAGACGTCCCTGTCCCTCGGCCACAGTCCTTGGTGATGTGTCCGACAGCCGTGTCTCAGAATTTAGACTTGGGCCCGACAGAGGCTCTTGGCCGGGGAAGGTCCCCCTAGAAAAGACAAACCCCAAGAAAGAGAACTCTAGGTTGTTCGAAAGTCCTGAGGCCAAAAAATTAGGATGGGCAGCCCTTTCAAATGGAGACCGGAAACAGGATCACACGCACCTCCCGGAAAAACAGAGTGATGACCCCTTCTATAAGTATTCAGAAAATCCTCCCACATCCCAAAGGGTTGAGCCAAAGTATGACATTGTGCACACAGTTAGGGAGCGTGCCCACAGTGAGGCAGTTCCCACGGCTCCAGAGGAGAAGGCTCTGACGCTCCGGAGCGGCCCATCTTGCCTCTTGCAGAAGGACAGCCAGTTGTCTCTTGAGGTCCCTGCTGCAGTCCCACAGGGCAGTCGGGAAGGTCGACCTCGATTCTTCCAAAGGGCCAGTTTGATTTGGGAAGCTCAAGGAACGCAGGGGCCAAGGCTTGACTTTCGAGAACTGAAAGATGGGTTTGGGCGCAGCTGCTCATCACCCAAGTGGACAGGCGGGGCTGTGGTGGCCAGTGAAGAGACGAGTGTGGAGCTGAGCCCTGCGGTTGTTTGCAAGGGTTCAGCCAGAGCCTGGGCGCCAGAGGCCACCACTGTGAAGACAATGAAGACCAGCATCCAGGAGGTCCAGCCTGAACAACGTGAAGGAGCCAGAAATAAGCCCAGAAGCTCCGTTTCAAGGGAAGAGAGGGGTTCACCCCAGGGCTGGCCTCAAGATCCTTCTTCCAGGGCCAAAGAACAGCCCTTTGATTTCGAAGCTCAGGCGTGTTCAGGTTCATTGTCTGTGAATAAGGGACCCCTCATTGTGGCTGCCAGTGAAGGTAACCAGAGGCCAGTTCCGATGCCACAGCTAGAAGTGAAGATGCGTAAAACCAGTCACACAGACCAGAGAATGGACAGATGGAGGCGTCGGACTTTACCCCATGATGTGAAGTTTGAGGAATTCAGCTTCCTTACCCCAGACAATTCTTCGAAGGAGGAGCTGAGGAAAACAGAGTTTTTGACCCCTACAATGGTTGCCTTAAGAAAATCTCAACTGTCCCATAATAGGGCAGGAACTCCAGAGGTAAACCTAGGTCTGCCACTGGACCAGACTCTTCCACCGGGTAAGCAAGGGTCACCTGTGGAAACCAAGGCAACATTTTTTGCAGTAACATATCAGATTCCAGATGCTCAGAAAACCAAGAGTGTTGTGAAGTCAGGGCCTGAGAAGGTGACAGAACATTCTAGAAAAACAGCTTCCCCTCCATCTTCTTATTCTGCTTCAGTTTCTCTTAACGATCAAGAGCCATTGGAGTCTGGGAGCAGTAAAACCTGGATTAAGGGAAGAGAGCATGAAAATGTCAGCGTTTCAAAGACTCTGAAGCCAGCCAACCGCCCATCACCTCTCAGGGATACCATTACGGAGCCTTCTAGCGAACGGATCATTGATGTCGATGCTTTATGGATTCGTCGGCGGTCAGAAGATGTCACTGGTTTCCAGAACTACTGGAAGGACAGTGGGGACAAGATGTCCTCTAGCAACATTCCTCAAACCACCCCAACTTTCAAAAGTCACACAAAAGCTGGAAATCTTGTTAGGCGGAAGACCGATGTGGTCAGCAAGACAGTCCCTGGTAAAATCAACGACAGCTACCGATCCAGTGTCCTGGACATTGATGCCTTGATGGCAGAGTACAAAGACCAGTCGGCAAAAGGCCCCAGGGAGTCTCAAGATCATAACGAGAGTCCCAAGGCCCAAGTCAGCAGCTTGTCCCCGGGAAGGCCAGGCCATCGAGGGAGACCGGAATGGGGGAGGAAGAGCCTGAAGGAGGCACCCCAAGCAGAGGGCCTTTGGAAACAGGCTAGTTTGGCTGAAACAAACCACAGTTCCACCTCTAACTCTGGCAAGCAGCCACTAACGACCCTGGATTCAGCCAGGGACATTAAACATAACCCTCCTCTGTGGGCCTTGCCACATCCAGCTCCTGAAAGAGACTTAGAGACTTCTTCTGGTCCCATGGAGTCTAAGAAAAAAGCCTCTGTTAGTAAATATAGCAGTGCCAAGTGTCAGAGCTACCTTGCTGAGTCTAAGTCCAAAGTATCTAAATCTCCGCCTGCTGACCGGAACAAAGGGACTTCAAAGAAATCCAGCAGGAAGGGAGATGAGGGCAGTGGGGTCATGTGGGGAGACCACCCACAGGACAGTGGAAAGTCACCGCTGGACGTCAAGAGGGCCTCTTCAGAGAAGGGTCCCCCTGCGAAAATCCGAGAGGGTCTGGCCATCATGCAGGAAGCCAGAGAGAGGAGGCGAGTGGAGCCAGAAGGGAAGCCCAGCTTCCCTGGGGGGAGTCCAGAGGCAAAGGAGACCAAAGCGAGGCCCTCTCGGTGGGAGTCGGGGACTCGAGATGGCCACAAGGTAAGAGGATGATTTCCATTTTGTCCAATGTTGAAGCATCAAGGCCAGGGCTCTCAAGCTGAGATTCATCATGGGCCAGATAGGGACATAAAGGGGTGGCGTGAGGTGGGATGCAAGATTCAAGGGAGCAGTGGGGATTGTGGTAAAGAGAGAGCTCATGCCTTTAGCACTGGGTACTAACCAAAAAGTCAGCAGTTCAAACCCACCAGGTGAGAGATGAAGTTGTCCATTTCCATAGATTCACAGCTTCGGAAACCCTAGGGAGCGGTTCTGTTCTGTCCTATACAATCCGTTATGAGTTGGTCCTATTTGAAGGGGGCAGCTGCTGCTGCAATCTGGCTGTTTCATGACATGTGGGAATGCTGGTCCTGAGAACAGAGGGTCAGGTTTATCAAGACAATCTGAAAGTCTAAAGGAGCCTTGGTGGCTCTGTGGGTCAGACAGTTGAGCTACTTACCAGTCTCTCTGTGGGAAGAAGATTCTGTCTGGAGCAGTTCTGCTCTGTCCTGTTGAGTTGTGATGGGTTGGCATCGATTTGACAGCAGTGGGTTTGGGTGGTTTTATCAAGAGCAAGGTCATTGGTTCAAACCCACCAGCCGCTGCCCAGGAGAACAATGAGGCTGTCTGCTCCCATAAAGATTTAACAGTCTTGGAAACCCTATATAGGGTTTCTATGAGCCAGAGCCAGCTAGATGGCAGTGGGTTGATTTTTTTTTTTTTGGTTATACATTACCCGCCTCTACCCTCTCCGTTATAAAAGGAGGATAATTCTTGAATAGAATATTGTTCAGTCCAAACAAAGCTTGTCTACTGACTCTTTCATTAGCCCTTGTCCACCAGTTTACAATGTCTGGCTTGGAATGATGATCATGGCAGCATTTATTGAATACCTGTTGTCTGCCAGTACATTGTAGCCCCAAGACCTAGGATGGTGCTAGACATTTTGTGAACATTCAAGAACTATTTGTAGAATGAATGGATTAGGGGTCTTATTTGAGCCTCCTGACAATCCTGTGAGAGAGGGTTGTCCTGGTTTGGAATACCCCTGGAAACAGGAGTGGACCTGAAACCAGGTTTAGGGTTCAAGATGTTTTGTGAAGAGATGGTCATAAGGACTGCTGATCGGGCAGGAACTGAGCCAGGGAAGGGAAGGTGGGTGACAAGGTTGCTTTTCAAGTAGGTTATCCACCTCCTGGGGACGTCTGGGAGGAGCATAGACCCATCTCTGAGTTGCCCCCCATCCAAAGCATTTACTGTATTGGGAAAATTCCAGTTTCCATCTGTCACTGACTGAGGCTGACCCTGGGTTTACTAATTCTCATGTTCTTCTGACCCTTCTGGTCTCAATGGTGAAGAGAAGGGCACCATTGTCATTATTGTATATGAATGTTGGGCAGGATGCCAACAGTGTGTGCTGTGGTATCTTCTAGTACAGACAGGAAAAATCAAAGCTCAGAGAGGTTGAGTAACTTGTTTCAGGTCACACAGCAGCAAGTGGCAAAGTTAGTGTTTGTAACTAAGCGTGGCCTGATGCCCAAACTTTCATTCTGTGGTGAATGAGGAGCCCTGTGAGGGGCAGGAAATCTGGAGATGTTGATCAGCAGGCGGCAGTGGGACCTCAAGATCCACCTCTAGGAAAAATGATACAGTATTGAGTGAGGGGCTGAAGAAACGACCCAGGAGGTCTTTCTAGAGAGGCTGGCTTCAGCGATGCCAGAGAAATGCATGTGCATTTTTAATGACAGGTGAAAGGGAAGTGAGGACATTCTTGGCCTTGGCCGGGGGACAATAAAGGTTTGGAGGTGAGCGAAATCAGCATGTTCTAGGGACTGCATCGAAATGGACTTAGTGCCCCCATGTGTGAGAGGGTAGTGACAGCAGATTGGTGGCTACAACAAGCCAGAGCTCACGTTTCACCTCTGCCTCTTTCCAGTGGAGTGACTACAGGCAAATACCTTCATCTCCCTGAGCCTCAGTGTTCTTATCTGTGCATGGGGTCCAACTCAGAAGGGTGGTTGTAGAGACTGACAAAGTGATATTGACTGAAGGTTCGCCTTGGGTCTAAGAGAGGGTTAAGTGGTGTGGCTGGGCTTTGAACTCATATCTCTTGCCGATGAGGCCAAGCTTTTTAAATACCATATTCAGGATCACACAGGCCACGTTTGAATCTCCACTCTGCCACTTCCCATCTGTAAAATAGATGACACTTGGAGCCTTTGTTTTCTCACTTGTTAAACAGATTTCACAATGATCCCAGCTCAACCCTGCTATGAAGCACCTAGCATGGCTGGGCACCCAGGGACATCTAGTCAGGGACCCTATTGTTTCCCATCTCCTTTTGTGGGCTCTGAGGAGGCATTTAGTGAGAAAGAAGGTTCTGCTGTGCCCAGCTCCTACTATCTTGGGAGCTGTGGTAGAGGGAAGAGGCCATGGAAATGTGACAAGCTATTGACTGGTGGCTGTGGAGAGTTGGGGCATTGAGGGGGAGGAGGGTCCTTGGACCTGGCTCCAGCCCCCTGACCCAGCCTTGGACGTCTGCCCAGAGTGCATAGGCCTCAGCAGGTCTCATTGTTAGGGGATCGGTTTTCTCACTGAGGGATCGGGAAGCCTTGGAACAGTTTCCCGCATCTCTCTTCTCTTCTGCCCAGAGAGCCTTGGTACTTAGTATTGGGGAAAAAACAGAAAAGGATCTCACATAAAAGAATAAAATGTTGGTTGTTAAAAATTTAAACCTTACTAACGAACAAACCCTGTTGCGAGCAAGTATATTCTGACTGCTGCCGACTCTGTGTGCTGCTGAGTAGAGTGGCTTTGCTCCATAAGGTTTTCTTGACTATCATCTTTTTTTTTTTTTTTTTTAATGTTTTATTGTGAATTCTATGATAGTTTACGTGAGAGAACATTAGTTTTACATTCATTCTATCGTATTTTGTTTCATTGCCATGGTTACAATCCCCTCCATGCATCATCTACCAACCAAAGGGTATACCATGCAAGCCTGCCCCCCGGTCGTCAGCACACAGCCCTTCTCCCTCTCTGGGTCTAGACTCCCCAGTCACACCATCTCTCCACATCATCGTCTCTGCCTCCATCTCCTGCATCACTGCTTCTCTGGGTAGGGTCCTGCTCTCCGCTCTTCATCCGTTGATTGACTATCGTCTTTATGGAAGCAGATCACCAGGACTTTCTTCTGAAGTATCACGCAGTGCCATACCAGGAGGGTATAACTGCTCCATAGGGTTTCAGAGACTGTAAATTCTTTACAAAAGCAGACACAGTCTCATCTTTCTCCCATGGAACTAACCTTTGGCTTAGCCACTCCAAGTTTCACCAGGGCTCCTTCCTGTAAATATTAACCCCAAACCCACTGTCTCCAAGCCAACTCTGACTCATCACCAGCTGCTCTCCAGGAGAGCTAAGAGGCTATCTGCTCCCATGAAGATTTAGCAGTCTTCTTGTTGTTAAGTGACATCGAGTCGGTTCCAACCCATAGTGACCCTGTTTAGGGTTTTCAAGGAGCAGCTGGTGAGCTTGAACCACCGACCTTGCAGTTCAAACGACTTTGCAGTCTGGCCCACAATGCCACACCAGGACTCCTTAACAGTCTTAGAAGCCCTAATTGTTGTTGTTGTTAGATTCCATTGCATTGGTTTCAACTCATAGCGACCTTATGCACAGCAGAAGGAGACACTGCCAGGTTCTGTCCCAGCCTCACAATTGTTGTTAAAATTGGGCCCATCGATGCTGCCACTGTCATAGTCCATCTTGTTGGAAGGGTCTTCCTCTTTTTTCTGCTGATCCTCCACTTTAGCAAGCATGATGTCCTTCTTCAGGGACTGGTCCCGCCTCATAGTATGTCTGAAATATGAGAGATAAAGTCTGGCTTTCCTGACTGCTAAGGAATATTCTGGCTGTACTTCTTCCAACACAGATTTGTGTGTTCTTCTGGCAGTCCATAGTACTTTCAGTATTCTTCTCCAACACCGTAGCTCAAATGCATCCATTTTTCTATGGTCTTCCTCATTCACTGTCCAACTTTTACATGCATATGAAGCTATTGACAGTATCATGGCTTGAGTCCAGCACACTTTGTCCTCAAACTGATATCTTTGCTCTTGAGTGCTTTAAAGTGGTCTTGGGCAGCAGATTTGCCTACTATAGTATGCTGTTTGATTTCTTTACTGCTGCTTCTATGAGTGTTGATAGTGGATTTAAGCAAAATGAACTCTTCGACAACTTCAATCATTTCTCCATTTATCTTGATGTTATTTATTGATACATTGGTGAGGATTTTTGTTTTCTTAACATTGAAGTGCAGCCTATACTGAATGTTGTGATCTTTGATCTTGATCAGTATTTTAAGTCCTTTTTGCTTTCAGCAAGAAAGATTTTATCATCTGCATATTGCAGGATGTTAATGAATATTCCTGAAATCTTGATGCCAATTTCTTCTTCGTTATCTAGCTTCTCAGATTATTTCCTAAGTGTACAGATTGAATAACTATGGTGACAGAATACAACCCTAGCAGACACCTTTCCTGATTTTAAACCATTCAGTGTTCCCTTGTTCTGTTCGACCAACTGCCTCTTGAGCCCAATTGTGTTCTGAATTACTCGTTCTCAGCAATGTTGTCCATAGCTTGTCATGATCCACACAGTCGACAGCCTTTGCATAGTCAGTAAAGTGCAGGAAAACATTTGTGTGTTTTGTATGAATTCAGAGAAGATGCATCTGACATCAGCAATGTTCCATGTCCTTGTCTGAATCCGGTTTGAACCTCTGGCATTTCCCTGTCAATGTACTGTTGCGGCCAATTTTGAATTATCTTTAGCAAAATTTTACTTGCATGTGATATTAATGATATCGTTATATGATGATATCTGCATCTCATTGGGTCATCTCTCTTTGGAATGGATACAAATATGGATCTCTTCCAATCAGTTGGCCAGGTAGCTGTCTTCCATATTTCTTGGCATAGGGGAGTGAGCACCTCCAGGGCCGCATCAGTTTGTCGAAATATTTCAATATGTATTCCATCGATTCCTGGGCATTGTTTTTTTTTTTTTGCCAGTGCTTTCAGTATACCTTGGACTTCTTCCTTCAGTACCACTGGTTCTTGATCATATGCTGTCTCTTCTTTTTGATACAGTAACTCTGTGTATCCCTTCTATGTACTTTTGATGCTTTCTGCATTATTCAATATTTTGCCTACAGAATCCTTCAATATTACAAGTCAAGGCTTGCATTTCTTCTTCAGTTCTCTCAGCGTGTTCTTCCTTTTGGTTTTCTAACTCTAGGTCTTTGTACATTTCATTGTACTACTTCACTTTGTCTTCTCAAGCTGTTCTTTGAAATTTTCTATTTGGCTCTTTTACTTCATTATTTCCTCTATTTACATCTCTACACTGGAGAGCAAGTTTCAGAGTTCCTTCTGACATCCACTTTGGTCTTTTCTGTTTTTCTTGTCTTCTTAATAACCTTTTTTTGGTTTCTTCTTGTGTTATGTTCTTGATATCATCACAACATTTTTCTGATCTTCAATCTTTAGTGTATAATGCATCAAATATTTTCTTAAGATGATTTCTCAATTCAGGTGTGATATGTTCAAGGTCATATTTTGTCTCTTATGAACTTGTTTTAATTTTCTTCAGCTTCAGCCTGAACTTACATGGGAACAATTGATGATCTGTTCTACATTTTGCCCCTGCCTTGTTTTAGCTGATGATAGGGAACTTTTCCATGATCTCTTCCCCCAGATGTAGTCTATTTGATTTCTGTGTATTCCATCTGGTGAAGTCCATGTGTATAGTTGTCTTTAATGTTGCTTAAAAAAGGTACTTTCTATGAATAAGTCATTGGTCTTGTAAAATTCTATTTTGCGATCTCCAGCAGCGTTTTTATCACCAAGGACATTCATTCTAACTACTGATCCTGCCTCTTTGTTTACAACTTTTGCATGACTCATTGAAGTTGTTATTAAGTACAGTCATGTCGAGTCTGACTCATAGAGACTCTGTGCTTTCTGAGAAGCTACTGGTGAGTTGGAACTGCTGACCTTGTGGTCCAGTGCTTAGCCTCTGATGCCACACCAGGACTCCTTGCATGACTGGTTGTTGTTAAGTGCCATTGAGGCAATTCTGACTCATAGTGACTCTGTATAGGGTTTCCAAGAAACGGCTGGTAAGCTTGAACCACCGACCTTGTGGTTCAAACCGACTTTGAAGTTCAATGCATTAACCCACAGTTCCACACTAGGGCTTCTGTATGTCTCATAGTGACCCTATATAATGTTTCCAAGACTCAGACTTTATGGGAGCAGATAGCCTCATCTGTCTTCTGAGGAGCGTCTGGTGGGTTAGAACTGCTAACTTTGCAGTTAGTAACCCAACACCTAACCCATTGTACCACCAGAGCTCCTTCCCATAATAAGGATTGCATTCTAGAAAATCCTATGGGGCAGTTCTACTCTTGTCAGTCACATGATATTGCTGTGAGTTGGAATTGACTTGACTGCACCGCAAAACAATTATTTTTGCACCTTGGAAATCCTTTACAGGGTCACTATGATTCGGAATCTACTTGAAGGCACTTAACAACAACTAAGCCCCAGTGCAGTGCCAAGTCTGAGGCTGAGGTGAGACAGCTGGGGTACCCAGGGCTTGCACAGTCCGCCCCCTGGTGGTGGCACGATGTTATGTACTTCCGGTGCTCATCTTCCCCTGAATCCCGGGAGCTGGTACAACTATTCCTGTTCTTGTGCCAGATGATGGAATTTCTGAGAGGAGAAGATTGGATCTGCATGAGAATGAAGTCTGTAGGAGTGGCATATCTTTCCTGTAACCGGAACTCCCTGCACCCCCACTGAAGTCCTTTTCTTGTGTTCTGACCCTCAGGTGCTGCAGCTGGACTTGGGCAAGGAGGGTGACCTCCAAGACAAGGAGCAGCCAGTCCAGCAGGTATCGCCTGCTGCCCTGAGTCCACGGAGAAGCCACAGCTTCTGCAAGGACAAGAGGAGCGGGCCCTTTGTGGTGAGTGGGACCTTCTGGTGTCCAGGAATGTGGCTGTGGGGTGTTGTCATGGCTGAGCCAGCGGGTGAGATGGGAATCTGGCATTGTCTGCAGGGCTATGCTATGGTTTGCAATTTGGAGGGTGTTTGGTGGTTTTGCCTGGGAAGCTGCCCCTCCGTTTTGTTTCTGGTCTAACGCTGAGTGGTAACCCCAGCTGCCTGGCACAGAGTGGTTCAGACAACAGGCGTTGAGTTCTGAAAGTTCTGGATTCAAGTCTCAGCACTGCTGCTTCTCAGCATTGCTGAGCTTTTGAGCCATTTGTTTCATTCTTCATACTTTAGTCTCTGCGTCTGGGAAACTCCATGGGATTCCTGGTTCTTTAATGCTGTTTCAAGGACAGAGTGATATTATGTGTGTGGCCCAGTACCTAGGGGTGCATGTGATAAACTACAGTAGTGATAATGGTGGGCAAAGCCGTGAAAAACTGATTCTGAAGCCAGACCATCCTCGCTGAGACTTTGGACGTGCCTGTGGGTCTCAGTTTGTGCATCTGTAAAATGGGCACAAAAATACCGAGTGAGCTAATGCATGAAGTACTTAGAACCATCTCAGTTGATAAGTGTTCTTGTTTTATTGTTACGGTTCTTATTTTCAAGTCACCGTCTGGCTATTCCTTGGACTGGCAGTTCTCGCTCAGCCTCTTTACCCACTTGTGGAAGGAGGTGAGTATGCAATACCGTGTTACTATGGCTGCCTCTGAAAGCCACACTTGACCCAAGTAGGTTCCAGAGCTTGAACACCTCCACTATTCTGTGATGGTTTTTGTTTTGTATTGTTGTTTTTTGGACTTGAGTTTCATGGTATTTAGAGGTCCACAGTAGTGCAAATGCCTTGCCCTCCCCTTTGACCATAAAGCTTGGCAATTTGAACCCATCTGGCATTGGCATGGAAGCCAGGCCTGGGGAGCTGCTCTGTAACCACGACAGCCAAGAACTCCCTGTGGAGCAGCTTGGCTCTGTACCACGTGGGGTCCCCACGAGTCAGAATTGACTTGCCAGCAACAGGTTTAGTTTAGTTCTTGGTGTCAGCTTGCTAATAATGAATTTCCTTCCGGTCCCAGGTCCCATTTGAGGATTTCCAAGACAAGGCATTCGACACTTGTATTTTGCTTGTAAGGTTCTTTGTGAGTGCATAGCTCCATGCCTGTCAGTGAGATTTGTAGCTGGGTTCAGGTCTTGATGACAAAGGACCCTCCTTTCTAGCTTTATGGTTGTAGGTAGGAAACTTCACTTCCCTGAACCTAAGTTTCCTCTTCTATAAAATGGAGATGAAGAAGATGCTCCAGGCAGAGTGCTTGCAGGGACTTGACAGGAGACTAGCTACAGTAGAGAGCGGCTTCATGGCTGGGAGGAGCCTGGGCCTCAGTGGGACCTCTGTAAGCAGCCCCAGGAGGTTCCCCAAGTGTGTCGCTCTCAGCCACAGACTCCCACACATTTCTCACTCATCTTTGCTGTGGCAAGTTGTCAAAGCGTTCTGTTTCCACTGATGGGCTTTCTTACCCCTTGTTTCCTTTCAGGGGTTTCCTGACTCAGCTTATCTATCTGACTGTGCTTGAACTTTTCTCTGTGTGTGTGAAGACAAAGGTTATGGGGAAAAAGCATTTAGGCCCTGCCTTTTTATAGCCTCAGCTTGCGGGCAGTCTCTCTGGTTCCTTCTCTTTTACATTCTTTCACTGAGGAGCTTTTATCCCTGGAGTCCTCAGATGGCTCGCCTCGAATATGTCCTGTGGCTGCCAAGCCCCCTGCCTCACTACTGCCTGCTTAGTTTCCTCTCTTCCAGGGGTATCTGCGTCAGGGTGCTGGATCCCCAACCTAATGGGGCCTAAAACCTTATTTTCCAGTTTACAGGACTCAACACCTGCAGTTCTAGGGCATAGTCACTAGGAGGCAGTGCTGTTCAGCTCCCTTCCTGATTGCTCCAACTGCTTGACTTGGAAGAGCTCTGGAGACCTTGGGCAAGCGGCTTGAATGGACTTCATTGAGCATACATTTTTCCTGTGACATGGGCATGGACCTATCTGGATTCCAGTATTCTTGTGAATAGTAATTAGAGGACCCAGCACAGGCATGGAACAACTCATCAGTGTGTTGGCTACATTGGCAGTTTTCCCTTATTTCTCTCCCTAAACCCACTGCCCTCAAGTTGATTGCAACTCATAGCTATCCTAAAGGACAGAGTAGAATTGCTCCCTAGGGTTTCCAGGTCTTTATGGGAGCAGACAGCCCCATCTTTCTCTCATGTAATGGATGGTGGGTTGTTTGCGAGCCACTGACCTTTTGACTAGTAGCCCAATGCTTAATGTACAGTGCCACCAAAGCTCCTATTTCTCCCTATTCCCCATTCTCGCCTCTCTTCCACATTGACTTCCCATCTTTCTTCACCCGCTTTTCCCCATCCTTCCTTTTTCCCACCTTGTCCAACTGAGGACCCGAGACAGGGCCTGACTTAGGCAAGGTGTCCTTCCAGGAGGAAGCTGTGGTGTGATTCTGTGACCTGCACTTGGTGCTTCATGAGCCGTTGAGAGGATGAATTGAGAGTCACCTCCGGTAAACATCTGCTGTTAGTCCCACCATTGTGTTTCTCTGGGATGTCCTGCTGTCTGTATGAATTTAGGTTTGGCTGCATATTTTGAGCTCATCTATGGCCTTATCAGCCTCAACCCTGCCCTCAAAGGAGAAAGTATGAATCCTGTCTTGCACAGGAGGAAACTGAGGCTCAGAGGGATGAAAGCACTTGTCCACAGCTATATATTAGCCAGAGGAGGGAGCTGGAATGGAATCAAGGCCCTCAACCTATTAATTATTATTTGCTCTTATTTTTTCCCCTGTTCTTGTTATTAAATGCTGTAGAGTCAGTGCCGGCACAGCAACTGGTGGGTCTGAACACCCACTTTGCCGTTCAAACTGACCTTCCAGTCCAGCGCATTATCCTGCAGCACCACATAAGGACTCTGTTTTCCCCCCTAAGTTCTCTTAAAGAGTTGTTGATGGGATCCTACTGTGGGAGGGTGCTTTGGGTCTGCTGCCAACGCCTACCAGCCCTCTCCCCGCTGTGCCTTTCCTTTCCAAGGAAACAGGACTTCCCTGAATCTGACTCCCCTGATTCCTGGTGCTGCCTCCAGGGACTGAGAGCAGGATATTTGTTCTGCCCAGGATTAGCCATTAGGTGTCCTGATGCAGCAGTCCTTATGCTCTGCTTATTTGCATAGCCACACCCATGCCTGGCTGAGCCTGAGTCAGGCGGGTCTGGTCCTACCTCTTATCAGAACCCTTGAGTGAGTGAATGAGTGAGTCAGTATGCCACTTGGGACCTCTCTTTTTCCCTCTGTGAAATGGGGAATAATAGTAGCAACAATACACGACAACTGCTTATTGAGTGACGTGTTGTTATTGTTGTTAAGTGCCGTCGAGTCGGTTCTAACTCATAGCCACCCTGTATAGGTTTTCCAAATGCGACTGGCGAGTTTGAACTACCCTTCAAACTGATCTTATGGTCCAGTGCTTTATCCCACAGCACCACACCAGGACTCCCATGTTACAGACAAGGAAACTGAGTCTCAGAACTGTGAAGTACCTCTCCCAGGGTTTGAGTCTGGAACCCACGCTCTTTATCATCTGCTGAACTTACCAATATTGGTGGGAGGATGAAAGGATCTTGGTTTAAAATCAGGAAAGATGTGTGCCAGGGTTGTATTCTTTCACCATGCTTATTAAGTCTGTATGCTGAGCAAATAATCAGAGAAGCTGGTTATTTAACAACTAGCCTTGTGCAGATGACATAGCCTTGCTTGCTGAAAGTGAAAAGGACTTAAAATACTTACTGATGAAAATCGAAGACTGCACTTTTCAATATGGGCTACACCTCAATATAAAAGGAAAAAAAAAATCCTCACAACTGGACCAATAAATAACATCATGATAAATGGAGCAAAGATTGAAGTTGTCAAAAATTTCATTTTGCATGGATCCACAATCAATATTACTGGAAGCAGCAGTAGTCAAGAATTTAAACGACATATTGCTTTGGGCAAATCTGCTGCACAAGACCTCTTTAAAATGTTGAAGAGCAAAGATGTCAGCTTGAGGACTAAGGTGCGCCTGCCCCAAGTCATGGTATTTTCAATTACCTCATAAGCATCTGAAAGTTGCACAGTGAATAAGGAAGACTGTAGAAGAATTGATGCATTTGAGGTATATAGTGTTTGAGAAGAATATTTACAATACCATGGACTGCCAGAAGAACAAACCAATTTGTTGAAAGAAGTACAGCCAGAATGCTCCTTAGAAGCCAGGATGGCCAGACTTTGTCTCTCATACTTCAGACATGTTATGGGTGGGGTGGAGTGG